TCAGCTTCCCACGTTCCAAGTGTGATAAACAAACAATTTAACACACTTGCAAAAAATACGCACTCAGCAAGGATAAGGAGGAGGACGAGGACGAGGTGCAGGAGGAAAAAGGATATTCGGACAATCCATCAATGTGACCGGGAACTAAACGCCTTTGACAGGCAATGAAAAGCGTTAGGGAATAGAAAATAGGAAAAGGCAAACGGTAAATGGTAAAATGCTAGAATGTTAAAATGTTAAATGGTAGAAAAAAAAGGGGTTACTATTTTGTGGAAAACAAAAAAGCCGAAAAAGGATCAAAATCGCCGTGTCAGGAGCGCGTGTCTGACTTTATGCCTGATTCTGGGCGTTATTTTTTCACCTTTTTTTTGTTTTTGATTTTCGTTAGGGGGTTGACTCACCCAGAAAGGAGAGAATAAAAAAAAACGAAGGGTCACACAATTAGCAGCCCTAATAGTTTATGTGGCCTAATGCCTAACGATATTTCTCCCTTTTTTTTTTGTTGACTTTTGGGTGTTTTATTTGGAATAGTTTTGAATTTTCGAATGCAAATCAAATCATGTGACAAGCTTCTAATGAACCTCAGAAGAAGTCCTTTTTAGAATCCAGTTCCCAGCTAGCCCATAAATGCTAATGAGCCCTCACGTTTTTTGTTTAGAATTTTTTCCTAATTTTTTTTTGTTGGTCGTTGTTTTTTATAGATTTTTACGGGCATTTGTTGGGTAATTTTTTGTGGGTCGTTTTGATGCGCTAGTGTTGCCTAGACAGTCACAATTTTAAGGCTTCCGGATACTAGCTACTACAGGATTCACCGAAAATCATCATCAGCATCATCATTGGCGTCCCGAGGGCCTCCTTCCTTTCCTCATCCTGCGTGTGCATTTTGTTCCACTTGAGTTTGTTTGTTTAACGACCTTTGAAATTAGGCACAAACCAAGGGCCAAAGGATGTTTTTTCCCCTTGGTACTTGGTCCTTGGGCCTTGATCCTGGGGTTGCTACCTCTTCGCTGAGATTGGGCTTTATACTTTTTTCTGGGTTTAGGGTTCTGACTGGACAAGACGAGTCAGACAACAGTCGGAAATTTATACAGTTTGTATGCAAATTTTGAGTCGATCAGACTCATTTGTTTCGGGCTGGAGATTCGCCATTTGCTGGCCCAATTTAAATTGGGTTAATGTTTTTAATTAGCCGGCCCAGTAATGAGAGGGGGTTGAAAGTTCATAAAATAAACTAATTAAATGTAATGAGTTTTCCTTAAAAAAAAATGAGCAAATCATGTCAAGGCTAAAGAGACAAAAGGCTAAGAATATTGGATAATGAGAAGATTGGTATTATAATTTTTTGAGAGGCTCTTCCTTGCTAAACCGAGCGCTGCCACAAATCGTACGGCCCTATACCGTATATTGTAGAGCTAGATTCGAGGTTAGGGCGACCAGAAATATTTATTTTACTTTGGTACCTAATATAACTTTATTTAAGTTGTTACAACTATACAGGCAATTTTTTTTTATATATATTCTAGTCTAGGGGGTCTTCTAGTCTGAATATTTGTTTGTTTGCTGAGTTATCTTGAGTTATGCTGACTCATAACTCAAGTTTAGATGTTTAATTATACCTCCCTAAAAGGATTTTAAAAAAGTTTTGTTTTTTTCGAAATTATATCCGTTTCAGTTTCATGGATGTAGACCCGTTAAGAAAAGAACTAAAACATTAAACGTGTTTTATTCGAAACTACTTTTTGTCGATACTGTTAACAAGATATCTTACGTTCTAATAAGCGAACTTACTGGTAATAATTATTAGGCATTAGGCAATAATATTCCTTAAATGTCTCTCTATTTCTTCTTTCTTTATAATGGAAAAACTTAATTTATTCTAGGGTTTTTTAGTTTGCCGTAGAGTCATTCATAAGGATTAAAATTTATTATTTTTTTGTGTTCCTCATATTCACAGGAGTGTCAAGCAGGACACGACCTTTTCTTCCCTCATTTTTTGGGATACATAGGTATCTTGATAAATGATTAATGTTCTTCAAATTAATGTTCTTCAAAAGATCTCCTTAAATTAAAATAAATAGTACTGGTAATAATAATATTAAACGCGTATATTTTATGCATATTTTGCACAAGAAAATCTTGAATTTTAAAATTTGTATTTTGTAAACATTTCTGGAAGACTTTGTCTAGTTGTTTATAGTAGTATTGGTTTCTCAACTTTAAAATAGTATATATTAAACCTAAATAAGTTGAAATATTCTAATTTCTTACTCTCCACTCTTCAAAACAAAAATTTCAAAAATATCCAAAAAGGCCCAAACATTTTTGTAGAAAACTCACCTTTGCTTTGGACCATTTAAATGATTTATTTAGGCCATTCTGTGCCCATTTATAGGCCTCTCCCTCTTCGTTTGTTTATTTATGCCCCCACACTGTCCAGTAGTAGTAGTTTCAATGAGTTCTTGAACGACTGCCTGGACAGGCCGGGCCCCATCAATCCTTGGGGGTCTCATTCAGTTCTGGGCACCTCTCTGGTGGCAGTTTTCTAAATGCCCGGCAAATGTTTTAACCATTAACCGGGCCACGCCCGCTTTAGCCCACAACAGCCGCCTCCTGGCCAAATCGATTGCCTTCCAAATCCCCAAATCCCAGACTGAAAGCCCCCCTCCCCGAAAATATAGAATCAAAACTAGAGTCGAAACAAAGGACCTGTTTCGAATGAAATCTTTGTGGCAAATTAGAAGGACAAACCCCTCGGAAAACTATGCCAGATACTGAAACATATATATACCAGTCTGTGTGTGTGTGTGTGTGTGTGTAGTACCCCCCCTTTAAGGGGTAAAGTGGGAAAGTCAACAAAAACCATAATTCAGATAATTTTATTTATAACACCCTTGAGGAATTATATTTTATTTACTCTTTCAAGTGTGATGATGAGGTCGAAGGGGCATGTTTTTGTTTGGCCAGGACCAGGGCCAGCGGGGAGTGGTCAGGGGGGAAGGGGGACAGAGGGGGGGGATGGACCTGAAGCGATACCAAAGAGTCCTTGTCAGGGACCTGCCCCTTTTGTATTGTTATTCTTTTTTTTTTCTCGTCGTGTTTTGGGTTTGCTGGTCTTGGGCTTGAATGAGGGTTGGAATTTTTCCGGCTCTGGTCTGGGTTTTCCTTCTCTCTCTGGCAAGGACCATCAGCAGGCCCGGCAGGACCGGCAGGACGCACAGGACTCTGCTCAGGTCTCCTTCGATTTCCTAACAGATGTGTTTGTAAATTGTCAAAATCTGTGTGCATTTGCTTCCTCCAAAAATCACGTAGTCTCCGTATCTCTTTCATTATGACCCATAACACCTCCCTATCGCATCCTTGGCCACTTGATTTTAATTTTTCATAATTTTTTTTTATTATCGTGTATATTTTTTAAGCATTTCTGTTGATGCCTCCACACCCGTGATGAGGTCTTGGGACCACCCGCTGCTGATGATGGGAAAACACTCTGCGGTTGCAGTGGTTAGCCCAGTGGCTCCCCAGCTCCGAGCGACTTTGGGCCATTTAGTCTCCATCCACCCCCCCGTCGGACTCGCTGGGTTGTAATTGGTTAGTCAGCAGGACTAACAGCAGTTGGTCTGGCAAATTTTTGCAATTAAATTTCACTTAAAACTGCAACTAAGCGATGGATATTCAAGTCGACGAACGAAGGGGTTCCGAAGAGATAATGGGGCGTAGGGTGCACTTCAATAAAAGGGGGTTTGGTTAAGGTTTTAAGTTAACATTATTTATGAATTATTTATATATATTTTTATGGAATGTGTTTATACATATGTATTTTTTATGCTTGGTATATAAAGGCTTTTAGCTAAAAGTCTTCTTTTTCTTTCTTAGGAATTTAAGAAACTGGTATATTTTAAAACTTGGAAACTCGTGGATTTTAATGGTTTCAAAGTATTTAACTAATTCTTTTCTAACTTTTTAAGAAAGTCCTTTAAATATCCTAAGCTCGAAAATAACAAAAAATTCAAGAAAATATTCAAAGAATTATGTATGAAATTTCCAAAGTCTTAATAAAAACTTTTAATATATATTTTACTATAATCGCCAAAATATGCCAAAAACTAGTAAAAGTCATTTTTCATTTGAAAATAGTTAAAATCGAAACCTCTAGACCATTACTATTATTAGATATTATAAATATGATTAAATTCTAATCCGAAATATTTTAAACCTTGAGTTCAAATAACAAGCTCCCCCCCACTGACGTGACTAAGCCCCTGCCTTTTGGCAGTTGAAAAGGAATAGAGAGTAGGAGACAGTAGTCCCCCCCCTAAAATACGGGTAATTTACTTCCGCCATTGCAGCTTTAAACATATCCGAGCAACACCCACCACTTCCTAATTGTGGAAACCAATTTGCGCCGCTATAAATTAGAAAGACAAACGACTCCTGGCTCCTGCCTTTCCTTCTGCCACCTCCTTTAGGGGGCGGTATGCGGTGGGCGTGGCCAGTTCCTGTTCCTGTACCAGCTGCGATTTTCAGATTGAGGATACCCGGTTTGGGGTTTCTGGTAGTATATCCACTCATACCCCTTAAACACATGGGCCGTAGGCACTGGCCCGGACTCGGGCCTAGGCCTGGGCCTGAGCATATCTTGGAAATTTGCATAAATAGACTTTAATTGTTTGCAATTATAAAACGAGACAGACACGAGCCCCGACATTCTCGCCCAGCCATTTGCACATTTTGGTATCCAACAGATACCAGTTACTAGTTAGTTATGGCCATTAGCGAATCTAAATGATTTTAAGCTGGTAATTGTATTAGTTTTTTTTTTTGAGGAAACAATCAATGGAAAATAGTTTTCTTAATGTGTTTTAAGGTGACTTTTTTAATTGTCACGGTCGCCGTAGGACTGTGCTTTATTGTCGCGGTCGTCATAAGAGTTGTATCCCTAATTGTCACGGTCGCCACAAAACATTTTTCAATAGTTATGATGGAATTTTTCTTTCTTTTAGACTCCAGTCATGAGGAGGAGGCTAATAGTGACCAAGAACCGGAGAATCCGGACAAGGAGTTGGGCTCTTTCCCTTATCCGGACGAAGAAACCGTAGAGTCGGAGGCCTTGAAGCGGAGACGTTGCCGGACGAACTTCAACTCATGGCAACTGGAAGAGCTGGAACGAGCCTTCCTGGGCAATCACTATCCGGATGTATTCATGAGGGAAGCACTGGCCATGCGACTCGACTTGAAAGAAGGACGAATAGCGGTGAGCACCACAATACCATAAACATATGTAGACACAACATTCGATTTTTATATCTTATTTCCGAGCTTCGATAACATTTGCGTGAGCATGGTAAAACAATTTGGTGGCAAACTGGAACTCAATTACTCAATAAAACCAATTACCTGACTATTTTTATCCATTATAATTCATTTTATTTCATTTGCAATTGCGTTTCGTGTCGCTTGTTGTTGTAATGATTTCAATTGCATTCCCATAGCCCATAGCCCATAGCCCATAGCCGGAGCTTAACCCTTTGTAGGCAACTTTGCATGTCAGTCGTGTGATTATCATGGCTCTGTCTCTTTCTGGGCATTGCTGTCCGTCTCTATCGCATGGGTCTGGGTTCGGAGTACGGTATGGGGACTATATAGAGGTATGGGGAGGTCGGGACATTTGGCTACGCTTTGTGTCTGAAATTGTTTCTTGACATGACATATCAATTTGTCAATGCAAGCGACAAGACAGCGACAGTCTGTCCGTATGTCCGTCTGTCCGTAAGTCGCTCTGTCCGTTCGTCATTCAGTCAGTCACTCAATTTGCCAAAAAAAAAAAGGGAGGCCCTCGTTACGAAAAAGCATTGCATGCCGCCGTTCGAAAACAATTTGTTGCACATTAAATACAAAGAGAAAAAAAAGTGCACAATGCATGCAAATGACTTTAAATTGTCGCACAGACCTCTGCCTATGTATGTACTTTAAATAGCTATATGAATGGTATACATATGCATTGGAATTGTCACCGCCATCCACCCATACACCGCTCCAAAGTGTCACGCTTGAGTCTCCCGGAAAAACTGCAGGTAAATTAGCGACGCCATCTTGTTTATGACTCCAACTAACCAAGGCAGCCATCCCCATCATCACGAGGGGCCCGATAATCATCACCAGCCATAGAAGCTCCAAAACGCATGACAAAATAGCTCTACTATGGGCTATACGTGTTGCGACACTGAAAAATATGTACCTCTTAGAGGAGAAGTTAACTTTTGAGTAAAATATTGTATTTTTCAAATATAAAATATTTAAGCTAGTATATACTAACTAATATAGATTATAAAAATACAAAATTTATTCATATAACTGCTTTTAAGACCGTAGTTTCTCGCAGTGCCTTATTTGTATTGCCCTTGGTCTCGTTGCTTATTGAAATGAAATTACTGGAGAGCTGTTTTTTCGGTGTTCTGGTAATGGATATGTTCCAGCACCTAATCGCGTATTTACCTTAACTATTTTACAACATTTTCACTCTCTTTTCGTATAAAATTAATAACTCACTGACTTAAAAAACTAGCTCAGCTTAAGAATTTAAAAAAAATAGTTATAAGATTATTTGAGATATTTTCTCCAATAAACCTCTGGGTTATATTTTAAAAGACTTTCAATACGACGAAGGCGAAGTTTATATTTTTGCCATTATTCATCCGATTTTTAAGGGGACCATCATAAACGATTTTTCGATATTTTTTTCATTACTCTGGATTAAAATCTAAAACCGAAATATTTTTTAGATTTTTTCTAAAAAAAAGGGAATAAGAAAGGAAAGCAAGGGTATATCCTTGCATTTAAGATCGGATGTAAATCACAAACATCCGATATAGTTTGACGATCGTTGAAAAAAATACCAAGCTTATATCTCTTCTTCCCTCTTCTATCAAGGAATTTTTAGCAAATACCGATTTCCGATCTTTCAGTTATATATCAGATACCAAAATTTTGACCAAAATTATAATACCCCCTGCAAGGGTATAAAAATGTGACAATAGCGAAGGCTTCCCACTCCCAACGGCTATATATGGTAGAATACATATGTAGTAGTCGCATCCGATACCATAAAGTATATATCGGCGCATTTCCATATAAGTTCCGAAGAGGTATTAGTATTAACCAATACTATTTAAGCACTGCTAGTGTTAAAATCTGTTTTTGAACACTGTTATGAAATAAGGAAGAAGATGAATATGTTGGGCCCTCGGCAAAATCATTCAATTTGTCATAATAGTCACCGCTCTCGGGCGGAAAGGTTCTATACCTTCTCTTATTTTATCTTTTATATTGAATCGTTTTTTATTTATTTTCATTTTTTTTGTTTTTTAATTTCGGAATGAAACCTCAAAGGTTAACTCAAACTGAAGTGGGTTCTTTTTTATTTTTATATTTAAATTTTATTTTAAAGCCCATGGCTTTTAATGATTCTGAATATATTTTGCAACCAATATTTTGTATTTTTATATTTTATATTAACCTGGTTTCTCAATATGTGGCAGTGGAGATGTTCCATTAAAGTTTTTCTTTTTCCTTTTGTTTTTTTTTTTTAATTATACTTTGCAATCGTCCTTCAAGTCGCGGTACCAGATTGTAAAGCGTTCTTCAAATCGCAGTACCTGATGGAAAATATATTCTTAATTTTTTTGCTTTTTGAATTTTTAAGACCTTATAAACCATATTTTTGTTGTAATTATACTTTGCAATCGTTTTTCATATCCCGGTACAAGTTTTCAAGCGTTCTTCAAATCGCAGTACCATATGGAAACTATATTCTTAATTTGTTTGCTTTTTGAATTCTTAACGCTTTTTGAATTCTTGAATTCTTACAAACCATATTTTCGTTTATTTTTGTTTTAATTATACTTTGCAATCGTTTCTCAAGTCCCTGTACCAGTTTGTAAAGCGTTCTTTAAATCGCAGTACCAGATGGAAACTATATTCTTAATTTTTTTACTTTTTGAATTCTTAAGACCTTATAAACCATATTTTTGTTGTAATTATACTTTGCAATCGTTCCCTAATTCTCGGTACCAGTTTGTAAAGCGTTCTTCAAATCGCAGTACCAGATGGGAACTATATTCTGAATTTTTTTGCTTTTTGAATTCTTAAAATCTATAAACCAGGTTTATAATGATTTGATTTTATTTTTTTTTTAGACCTGAAGTGGAGATGCTCCATGAAAGTTTTCCATTAAATTATACTTTGGAACCGTTCACCAAATCGCTGTATCAGTTGGCAACTTTATTCTAATAATTTTTTTAAACCTTATCAACTGGGTTTCTCCATTTGTGGCAGTGGAGATGCTCCACTAAAGTTTTCCATTTTCCTGTGGTTTTTTTCCAAAACTGAAGTTTTGGAGACATCTTCGACCCTATAAAGTATATATATTCTTGATCAGGATCACCTCCTTATTGATTGGAATACATTAAAAGATTTTAGTTCTATTCTCCATCGAAGTCTTTCGAAAGTGACTGTTTAAATATGTTAACTTTCTATATATTTTTTTAAATTTTTGGAATATTTACTTATTACCCTGAACGATGTCTATATCTTTACCAACATTCATCTAATTACTAAGCGCATTACCTTAAACGATGTGTAGACTCTTTGTAAATCTTAAGTAAAATATAAACCATATATGTACTTACAGGTCTGGTTCCAGAACCGACGAGCCAAGTGGCGCAAAAAGGAGCACACGAAAAAAGGTCCTGGACGCCCAGCTCACAACGCCCAGCCCCAGAGCTGCAGTGGAGCGCCCATACCCCTGAGTGAGTTGCGGGCCAGAGAGAGGTAATTCAAAAATTATTATAATTATATAATTATAATTATATTATATATAATCAATATTTCATCCATCCAGGGCCCAGAGAAGCAAACGAATGGGAAAAGCCATCGAACGGCAGGCCCGGAAATTGCGTCTGAAAGGCATCGAAGTGGACTTGGAGAGGCTGAAAGCCGACTACTTGGCGGCTCACAAGGACCACTGGCTGCCGAATCATCAGGACGAGGACCACGACCTGGACGACATGGGCAGCTATGAGGACGATGATCTGCCCATCGATGTGGTCGGCGATCCTCAGGACGGCAGCCAGGATAATTCGTTTTGTTCCTCTCGGACATATCCGAAGAGCAGTACTGGCAGCGAAGCGGACGTGGAACCGGAAGAGCCCGAAGATCCTGAAGATCCCGAAGAGGACATTCGAGTGCCCATCAAGCTGGAGACAGAGCCGCCCCAAAACAAAAACAAAAGCATCTACAACTCACCCTTCAGCATCGAATCCCTGCTGGGTTCATAACGAATATCGGATATTGTGTGTCTATAGGATTAGTTTTTGGTGTATGTGGTGGCTTATCTAAGAAATATATACATTTATATATTCATTATATGTAATTATGGAGTTTTTGAGTTTTTTTCAAGTGTAACAGTACCAGGTATGATACAGTCTCCCCTGGACTTCTTGAAGCGTGCGGTTATGAATATTCTTGAATTTTAATTTCCAGCCAACTGCCCAGGGGCTAGGGAAATGTTAAGGCGTTAAAGGGGTGGGGGCTGAGAATCGGTTAGGAGGCGTGGCTGGGTGAGAAGGCGGCGGCAGTGCATCCATCAAGTTCACACGCAGCTAGCCACTGTGGAAAGGGTTGGGAAAAAACTTGAATAAAATATAAAAAATAAAAAAGATTAAAATTTCGAGAGCCTTTTAAGGCTTGTTTCTAGCTTGAATTTTTAATAATTTAATCTTTCAATAAATAATATATTTTAAATTATCTGGAAACAATATATTTCGTAACATATCTCGGAATCTGCTTCCATGGTATCTCCAGCATCAGTCGCAGTCACAGTCGAAATCTGGGGAGTTGGATGCCCCCAAGGTAAATTCAACAAAATGCAACTCAGAGACAGACAGAGATAGGGGCTTTTTGAGGAAAAAAAGAGGCAAGAATAGCGGACATCGGACATCGGACGACTCACAAATGTAATACACACATCAGGCAAATAAATTAGAAGGCAACTCCTTCGGCAGAAGCGTCAGGTAAGCCGCGCCCCCCGTTCGCACTGGCACTCGCACTCTGGCCAGGATCGGGGCTGGGCATCCTTTGCCAGACCTGGCCAGGCATTTGCAGTTGTACAAAATGGAGCCCGGAGAGTAATGCAGACAATCCGTCATGCAGGTGTGAATGATTCATTAATTTCTCGCCTTCATACGAATTTTCAGTTAACATGCGAGCGGAACCGAAACGAGCCTCAAAGAGTTACGCACACAGTGAGAAAAAATGTTGCATTGATTCGTTAGAATTTTTGGTAAAATATTATAATCATATTCTGGTTATTATTTAAAGGTTTAAAGTATGACAAGTGGCTTCATTTCATGAACTTAATGTGGAATATTTGTAGACAATGTATTAGTAGACAATAGCTCCTTAGTAGCTAATCCCTAATTTTTTTCCAGTGCCCTGGTAAGCGGTAAAGAGCATATTTTTAGGTAGGTCTGGTCTGGGGTTTGGAACTCATGCCTGGCAGCTCCTCCATCCTCCATCCAAGCAACTCCTGCTCCTTCTTGAAGCCACAACTTCCAAGCTTAACGTCTTCATTACGCACAGCCACGGTCTTCATCTCTAAAAATGGTAGAAAAAAAACAAAATAAAAAACAGCTTTTAGGCCAAAAAGAAATCCAGAAGAGCCACTCGCAGTCTGCGTTGCCAATTGGCTTTTGGATTTTCAATTTCGCGGCATTTCCTTTCGAGATCCTTGGGCCAAAGAGATCAACAACTGCAGTCAGTGTGAATGCGAAATGCCAGCGGGTGGCTAATTAGCCAGCTCTGGGCCGATACTGGGCCAATTGGTTAATTGGTAGACCAGTTTCCCACTAATTGAATTAGACCCTAATAAACCCGCACTCTCCAAAGCATTTCACACGAATTCTATTTGGGATTCGCATCATTTAAATGATTTTTGTGCCCGTTTCGGTCAACAATTCATACTTTTTATTACACCTACATTTTCGGGCCAGCTCGAAATGAAGGCGTTAACCAAGTTTAATACATTTATTTGGGCCAGGATTGTGACTGGGGACTTGAACTTTGTCTGGAGACGGGAGAGCCGAAGCTTGAGCTGGAGCTGAAGCTGGACCTGGAGCTGCCATATCTGTCCAAAGTAATAATTATGTTTCACGTTGTTATCCTAATTTACGTGCCCCAGAACAGAGACCTAAACAGACAGAGTTCCAAGGGACTGGGTAAAGCACTGAGAGAAATTTTCGTTATATAAATAGAATCAAAAACAACTAAAGGTTTTTTAGTTTTTTTCAATAATTTAGGAAAGGTAATAACATCCTTTTTTTGAATATTTCTTCATTAAATATACTTCCTTAAATGTAATACGACAACTACACTTGGATAATAAAACATAGATACAAACATAATACAATTTTAATTCAATGTGTTTTAATTCTATGTGTTTTTTAATAAGTTTAAATTATTCATATATATTTTTTAGGTAATTATTCGAGTAGTATTTTATAGAACCCTGAGGCTACCCAGGCAAGAACTGAGTAAAGCCAAAAGTATTGGATATCATATAGTAAAGCCTAGTTTAAAACCGAGCTTGACATTTATTTGCGCTGTTTGTCCTTAAAAAATCTTTAAAAAATATTTCACTTCTTAAATACAAGTTTATCCTCTACTGTATCCTTTATTTTATCAATTTGTGTTTTATATTCTCGAATTTAATCTTTTATTAAATATTTTGTAAACATTTCTGCAAGTGCCGAGTTCAAACCTCAGTCACAACAACCGCTGCCCTGGGGCTATGGAAAAAATATAAAAAAATAAGACTAAAAAACTAAAGCCAATGCTGAAACTGAAACCAAAGTCTCATCATCGTCGTTGGCCCGTTTTGTTGGCCGTTTCTGTCCGTTTTGGCCTTTCGTCTTCCGTCTCTGGGTCGTCGCATTTCACTGGAAAAATATTAAACACAAAGCGAGATACTGAAAATTGATTTCTCACCTTCGTGCACGTTATGTTATGGAAGGTGTCCATCCAACGTCCATTGTCGGTCGTTTCTGTAGTGTTCTGTAGCTTATAATTAATTAATATATGTATATACCGCATACCTGAGCAAGCACATGTACAAATACAGGTATAAAATAAACGGATTTGGATATAGCACTTCGTGATTTGCACGCCCGCCGAAAAAAAAACAAAGAAAAAATGTATATATTTCAATAATCATAATCTCGGAAGGTATGGGGAGTTAAGAAGTCTAAGGTATAAGGCATACCTACTATATATCTCGAAAACCCGCCAGACAGCCTGTCGCAATGCCAACTCCCTCTTTTTCAATCCCCGACGCCCCCCGCCGCCTGTGCGCGCCCTCCTCGACTCGTAAATTAACATTTATCTGTGAATTTATTGCATCATCGAGAAAAGTTTTCAATTCGCTGGCGAAGTCAAGAAAGGGGGATCCAATAACGCGGCAGATGGAGGGGGTGAGGCGACCTGAGATTACACAAAAGAAGAGCCCCTAACACCCGGCACCTGTTGGTCAAATGGAGAAAATTTATTTGTCATTTCTTTTACGCCATTTGTCGTGGCTTTTAATTTGCTTTCAAAAGCCAGCTTAGTTTTTCATTTCGAAATTATGATTTTCTTTCTATTTTTTATCATACAAAATTTAAATACTCTTTCTTCAGGGATTTTATATTGAATTTAATCAAGATTACTAGGCTATATGGAGGTAATGAGTAAGGAGGGCTATAGCCTTTAAAAATTTGTTGCATACTTCAGAGTGCTTCGGAACCAGGCATTAAGGCAGCACAACAGCCACATCTATAACTTCTTTAAAAATCATCCGATTTTGTTGAACTTTGGTTTCTAGATATAAATAAGTCTTTTGAATAGTTTTGCACCAAAAATTATTAAAAAATAGTTTTTGAAATAGAGTTATAGAGACATTCTAAGAGGTGGACTTACATTTTTTGGTAATTTTTGGATTATAAATTTTTTTGAAAATTGTGTACTTATGTTTCAAATATAGAAACTGTTTCTCGAAAACAGAAAAATTCCTTCAAAATAAATCAAACTCTTAAGTTTAAACTCAAATTTAAATTAAAAAAAAAAGGGCATTTAATTTTCAACTCAAAACTCTACAAACTCTACTCTTTTTTTTGAATATTGTTTTCTTTTTTTTCACTTTTGTTTGGAGCTCAGCCTCTTTGGATCCCCCTACTGCCCCTCCCAGTCAATGCACCTTAATTTTCTCCACATCGTGACATTTTAAAATGAGAATGGCATATAAAAATTTGTATGATATGATTTTTATAGACTTCAAATCGATTTTTTTACGATCATTGTTGCCGCTTTTTATGCGCTTGCCACGGTTTTATGTGACAGGCAGAGCAGCGGGGGTCTGGTTGGGGGTTAGGTTAACCCATACGGCTTTTTTTGTGGCATTGGGATGCATTTTTTTTTATGTAATTATGTAATTAGGTGTTAAGGCAAACAATTTGAAGGGGTCACAAAATATTGATGCTGCCGCCCGCTGCCGATTATCATTATTATTATTATTGTGATGAAAATGATGATTGTGATGATGGGAGACCGTTAGGTCTGGCTTTCTTATCGATGCACTGGCATCAAGAGTAAGAAATTAAATACGAAATACGAAAACATATATATTTTGGCCATATGCTGTCAGAGTTGGAGTTGGAAAGTTAAAAGGCCAGCCAATATCCGGTCGGGCGAACCCCAATGGATCGGGCCACCTGTTGTGTCCTTTTTTTCTATGTTGCACCATCGCAAAATTTTTAATTTAATTTTTTTTCATTACTTTCTGCCGCACAAACACTCTCACAAGTATACATATTTGTACATATGTATATGGCAGCTTAAATTATTTCTGCCAGACTTTAAGTTGAACTTCGAGCCTCATGGCTCTGGTCGGTGATTAATAAAGCCATTATCCCACAGACCGGATCGGGATCTGGATCGGGATCGGTATCGTATCGGAATAGGGCTTCAAGTCGGGTTCGGGTCCGGCCACTACAACAGCTGTTGGCAACAGACTGCTCTTGGCCCGGTTCGATTCCTTTCGTTCGTGAGAAGATGCCAAAAACCCATTCAACTGACTAACTGACTTTTCATAAAATATTTGGAAAAATAAAAAACATTAATTAAAAAAAATAAGGAAAAAGGAATAATTTATAGTTAATATACTCCCATGTTCATAAAATTTTTAGATGCTAGGAATGAAAAAAGCAAAATAATGTTTAGGATTATGGAGGCTCCGATCAGAGTCACGATATTCCAAGGATTAAGACTAATAAAGACTAAAACATAAGACTATTAAATGAAAAATAATAAAATAAGAGGATCCTAGAGACTACCAAGTAAATTTGAAATATTTTTCCATTTAAGATACGAAGGTATACAAATGGGCTACAATGGGAGTGGACTGGAAAAATTTTGACACAAACTGGATCTGCGCGAATATTATACGATTCCATGTTCCAAATCTGATAGTTTTATCTATTTTAATCATCGAAATGCGTTCAAATCTGTAGCTCGTTTGTATGGAAAAAGGTATATACATGAGTACATCTCCTTCAAAATAACTTGGATATATCTATTTTTATGTCCATCGACACTATCGTGTGTATCGTGTGTTGAAACTTTAATTTTCTTTTTCGACTTTTAATATAAGTCCTTATTCTAATATAAATCCTTATCACTATCATAGGTTTTTTCCAATTAAAAAAATATTATTTGATATTTTACGCTATTTATAAAAATCATTCAAGATTCATTCATTCAAAGACATATTTTATAATTTTTAATTATCATTTAATTTTAAAAGTAAGCTGTACATTTACTTAAATTATTCTTTAGCCCGTATTTTCTATTTACATATAAATAATTATAATTAGTCATTAATTTTGTCCTTGAAGTCTACTTCTTGGAGACCACATTGTCGTTCTGGTGCTGATGGATCCAGAGGCGATGGTAGGAACAAGCCACCCGGCAGCCCCGGGTGCAGAACTCCCGGTCCGCGCACATGGAAGTGGCCAGGCTTCTTTGGGCCACGGCCAGGACTCGGCAGTAGTCGTGGCACATGTAGCACTCTGGCCGGGATCGGCAGAGGAACGGCGGCGTTATCACTGGCAAGGACTCGCGGTAGCAGAGCTTGCGACATTGGGCGATCCTTTGGTAGCGTTCTGGCAAGGATTCCGGATGATTTGGCGACTCTGTGCGAAGGTCCTGCGGTGCAATAACGGCGCCCTGCGCACGTTCGCTCCAAATACACAGCAACAGGATAATGCCAACGAATGTCCTTAACATCATTTTGCTCCTCAAGTATAGAACGATGTGTCTAGGCTGGTGCTGTATTGGGTTCTGATTGTCCTGGCAAAGGACCTTTACCTTATATATGCGAGTCCCAAGTCCCGTTCATTCATCCAACAAAGTACCTGGCCCAAATCCCTACCTAGGATCGGATCAACAGGATCCAGGTAATTGCCAACACGTGTTTCAGGTTTTATGAATGGCCAAGGCGCCCGGAAATCCCCAGGGATTTCCCGCCATTGATCTTTTAGTGTCTGCTGGGTTATTACCTGAAAAATGTATCACTGATGCCGGCCGGCCGGCCGTTGACAGTTTTTATTATTGCGTAATACAGTTTCTGGACCGTTTTCTGGGTTTCTTATTCCCGAGGGGTATGCCGTATACCTAGGATCTCAGACTTGGTTAAACACAAGTTAATTGAGAATAATTTGAGGTAAAACCGCAGGATAAAGGCAACTGATAAGCAGTCTTGGAATTCCAAAATGTAAATTACATAGTTTTATGGATGGATTTTAAAGTCAAAGAAAAATACAAAAATAAAATTTTATTAAAATTAAAGTCCATAAAATTTATAAAAATAATTTAAAATTAAATAAAAATTTGATATAAGAACGACTGTCGCCATCTACATTTCAGATGTGGATTACAGACTTCTTTTAAAAAGGTGACCACTGTATAACAGTATAACATTTGACACAAAAGAGAGCGCAGCTGCCTAATATGAGAAATAGATGGCGCTTTTAGAGCCACTTGGATACAATATAAACAACAAACAAAGAATATATAAAATATATATATATAAGAATATATAGTTAGACGCCAGTTACTTTAATCCATCGACATTGTGCACCGACATTTAATCCAACCCAAAATAAAATTACAAAAAATAAAAATAAAAAAATAAATAAATAATTAATTTCAACGCGCAGTTTCAGGAATGGAAGAATCGAAGAATCCGAGGTCCCAATGAATAATGTTCATAATACTAAAAAAAATGATAAAAAGAACCAAAACATTAATGGAACATCTCCACTGCCACATATTGAGGAACCAGGTTTATTTAAAAATAATTAAATTAAGAAAACATTTAAAAAAAATATACATACTTCGCAGGGATGGAAGAATCGAAGAATCCGAGGTCCCAACGAATAATTTTCATAATTCCAAAAAAAATGATAAAAAGAACCAAGTTAACCAAGAACCAAAAAAACATTAATAGGACATCTCCACTGCCACATATTGAGAAATCAGGTTTATTTAAAAATAATTAAATTAAGAAAACATTTAAGCAAAATATACATACTTCGCAGGGATGGAAGAATCGAAGAATCCGAGGTCCCAACGAATAATTTTCATAATTCAAAAAAAAATGATAAAAAGAACCAAGTTAATGAAGAACCAAAAAAACATTAATGGAACATCTCCACTGCCACATATTGAGAAACCAGGTTTATTTAAAAATAATTAAATTAAGAAAACATTTAAAAAAAATATACATACTTCGCAGGGATGGAAGAATCGAAGAATCCGAGGTCCCAACGAATAATTTTCATAATTCCAAAAAAAATGATAAAAAGAACCAAGTTAACCAAGAACCAAAAAAACATTAATAGGACATCTCCACTGCCACATATTGAGAAACCAGGTTTATTTAAAAATAATTAAATTAAGAAAACATTTAAAAAAAATATACATACTTCGCAGGGATGGAAGAATCGAAGAATCCGAGGTCCCAACGAATAATTTTCATAATTCCAAAAAAAATGATAAAAAGAACCAAGTTAACCAAGAACCAAAAAAACATTAATAGGACATCTCCACTGCCACATATTGAGAAACCAGGTTTATTTAAAAATAATTAAATTAAGAAAACATTTAAGCAAAATATACATACTTCGCAGGGATGGAAGAATCGAAGAATCCGAGGTCCCAACGAATAATGTTCATAATACTAAAAAAATGATAAAAAGAACCAAGTTAACCAAGAACCAAAAAAACATTAATAGGACATCTCCACTGCCACATATTGAGAAACCAGGTTTATTTAAAAATAATTAAATTAAGAAAACATTTAAGCAAAATATACATACTTCGCAAGGATGGAAGAATCGAAGAATCCGAGGTCCCAACGAATAATTTTCATAATTCCAAAAAAAATGATAAAAAGAACCAAGTTAACCAAGAACCAAAAAAACATTAATAGGACATCTCCACTGCCACATATTGAGAAACCAGGTTTATTTAAAAATAATTAAATTAAGAAAACATTTAAAAAAATATACATACTTCGCAGGGATGGAAGAATCGAAGAATCCGAGGTCCCAACGAATAATTTTCATAATTCAAAAAAATGATAAAAAGAACCAAGTTAACCAAGAACCAAAAAAACATTAATAGGACATCTCCACTGCCACATATTGAGAAACCAGGTTTATTTAAAAATAATTAAATTAAGAAAACATTTAAGCAAAATATACATACTTCGCAGGGATGGAAGAATCGAAGAATCCGAGGTCCCAACGAATAATTTTCATAATTCCAAAAAAAATGATAAAAAGAACCAAGTTAATCAAGAACCAAAAAAACATTAATGGAACATCTCCACTGCCACATATTGAGAAACCAGGTTTATTTAAAAATAATTAAATTAAGAAAACATTTAAAAAAATATACATACTTCGCAGGGATGGAAGAATCGAAGAATCCGAGGTCCCAACGAATAATTTTCATAATTCCAAAAAAATGATAAAAAGAACCAAGTTAACCAAGAACCAAAAAAACATTAATAGGACATCTCCACTGCCACATATTGAGAAACCAGGTTTATTTAAAAATAATTAAATTAAGAAAACATTTAAGCAAAATATACATACTTCGCAGGGATGGAAGAATCGAAGAATCCGAGGTCCCAACGAATAATTTTCATAATACTAAAAAAAATGATAAAAAGAACCAAGTTAACCAAGAACCAAAAAAACATTAATAGGACATCTCCACTGCCACATATTGAGAAACCAGGTTTATTTAAAAATAATTAAATTATGAAAACAGTTAGGCAAAATATACACCAGGATCAGAAAAGCCATTTACTTTAAAATAAAAAAAGTAAATATAAATTAAAAAAATAAAAAACAACCCACTTCAGTTTGAGTTAACCTTTGAGGTTCCATTTCGAAATAAAAAAAAGGAGAAAAGTCAAGAATAAAATAAATAAAAACCGATAAAATAAAAATATGGAAGTAAGAGCAGGTATAGAACCTTTCCGCCCGAGAGCGGTGATTGTTATGACCCATTTAATGATTTTCGCCAAGGGGCCAACATATCGGAAAAAGGCAAGGCTCACTTGGATTTGGAAGAATTGATATTATCAGCTATCAGTGTTTAAAAACCGTCTTTACAACACTAAAATAAATTACCTAGTGTTGGTTAATTCTAGTACCTCTCCAAATACTAGTACCTTGTCAATTTCCTGTCGTGAGGACGCTTTTATTGATTTTGTAAAAATATCTTTATTCCAAAATCCCATAGAAAGTCCTCCAAATAAAACAGAAAGTATATCTGTGGTATCTTGTTAATTCTAATATAATATATTTCCATATCATGTAAATATGTGCAATATATCTAAAAAGCGTGAAAAGGTCTATTGGCAGTACTAGGCTATAAGCTCGTACCGTTCTAGGGTGGCCTGTGCCCTGTCAATGCATCGCTGGACCTTTGCATCCCTGAGATGGAATTCGGTTCGAATCTTCTTGGTGCGCTCCTGCATGTCGACCAAGAGGGCAACCTTGTCGATTGTGATCTTGCGGATAGCCTCCATCTTGTCAAGAAATTCTTTTATTCCAACTTTCAACCATTCAATGAATCGGATGTCTGACTTGGTCGTGTCAATGCGCTCCTTTAACTTCAAATCCATCAGCTGAAGGTGGACACGAAACGTATCGGTGCGCTCCTGCATATCGGCCACGAGGGCAACCCTCTTCTTGCAAGCCGTCTTCATCTCATCAATGGGTCCTTCGAGGAGTGTAATGCTTCGCATGTCGGCACAAAACTTCTCGGTGTGCTCCAGTATATCGGCCACGAGGGCAGCGCTCTTCTTGGGAGCAGCCTCCATCTTATCAATGCGTTTGTTGACCTCCCGAGTTGCGTATTGAATGCATCTGATGTATTGAACAACCTTCTTGGCGAGCTTATTGTATTTGCCCACGAGCTTGCGATTATTCTGCACACGTTTCTGCATTTCCTCTGGCGACTCATTGATCAGCAGCCGATTAATCCTGGCCCGGAGCTCCCGGAGCGTGTCTTGATCGATGTCTTGTTCATTGATTTTATCTTCTTCAGTTGGAAACTCCGGAGCAAAACCATCACAAGAATACGTCTTGCGATCCATCTTGATTTTATTTTGGTGTCTTTTTGTGTTTTTTGTTTGAAATTTTGAAATTCGGCCTTTTATTTTCAATTTAATATTTGATTTTTTTTCCAAAAAAATCTATAGTGTGTTTTCACTACGAGTTTCAATGAAATAATGAGACTATCCCAGGCCGGGCATGGGGATCTGATTTTGACAGATCCCAAAGTCAGTTCCAAGGCTAACTAGGTTTTGAAAAATAATATTGTTACTACTCGTAATAAGGAGTAGAAGCTTTACATAAATTTAAAACTTTACATAAACATTGTAACGCACAACATATACGAACTAAAACTAAACTAAAATTTGAACTTTCTAACTCTAAAAACACCAAAGTTATATCATTTCCGATCAATCAGTTATATGGCAGCTATAGGATATAGTCGGCCGATCCCGGTCGTTCCGACTTATATACTGCGTACAAGGGAATGGTGGCGAATCGATCCAGAAGTCGTTTAAGGTACTCCGCTTGAGAATCGGATGATAATTGGGAAAGATATAGCCATTACTGCGGACCCCATAGGGAAAACCGCATTTTCAAGGGATCCCATCACGAAAAATGGACAAAAAATCTAAAAAATATTTTGTCTCTGGATTTAGATGCAGAACGGTGGCGAATCGATCCAGAAG